TAGTAGTAGTAGTAGTAGTAGTAGTAGTAGTAGTAGTAGTAGTAGTAGTAGTAGTAGTAGTAGTAGTAGTAGTAGTAGTAGTAGTAGTAGTAGTAGTAGTAGTAGTAGTAGTAATAATAATAATAATAATAAAGAAAGAGAAGAAGAAGAAGATGATGAGAACTTGGAGATGGAAAATTAATGTAAGGATTAAACAATAATAATAACAAATGTCAAGGTTAGAGGTTCCACTAATGGTATATCAAACAAGTATAGTATAAACTCTTATTATTGAATTGGAAACCACACACAAAGGAGGTTCCAATCAGATTATATATTGTTAACATGATTACATTAGTCATCTTATTCAATTAATGCTAATACTTGTAAATCTCGTCAAGCATTCATGATTATAACTTATGTTAACAACAAATCAAGTTCCTTTCATAGCTCAGGTGTCGGTTATACCATACATTATGGGCTATGAAAGTGCCAAACATTTGTTGTACCAAGTGTTATGTAACATAAATCAAGATTAGTCATTTAACAAGCAAAGTATTAAAGAGTGAACAAGATAGCAAATATAAAACATGTTAGTATCAAACATTAAAGTCCATATTAAGTTTACATTATACTTATTCTTACACCATTAGTGTAACCTTTTCACCTTGACATAATTAACTTAGCTAGACATAATGAAAGAAAGCAAAATAGATAAACAAAATAAGAACATAAAAGTTAACTAAGTAAAGGAAAGGAAATGAAAGGCATAAACTTAATATTAATGAAAACAAAGCATAAAAAATACAAAGAGAGAAAGGAAGAGCATGATCTTGATCTGGAAATCAAGATGCCTAAATGCATGGCAAATGCCTCCTTTTATAGGCCAAAAATGGGAACTATTGATTTGATGACTAATTGATAAGTGGGTGACCAACTTTTGACTTGGTGACAATCCTTATCTTCTCTTGTCTGCCCAAAACGTCATTGATAACGTCAAAATTGGAGCCAGTTGTAAACATGAAAGTTGTAGGCAATTGTCTCAGCTTTCTTGTGTAAAAACTTCAGCTCATTTGGACTTCTAGAACTCTAGATATGGCCAAAATACCGAACAGTGCTCGGGCTGGAAGACAGATTCGGGCTTCTTTGTTGTTGCTACAATTTGGACTTGATAATGGCCTTTTTAGATCTTGGGCTCCATATGAAAGTTGTAGGCCTATGTCTTACCTTTCCATCCATATAAATTGGACCTAAATCTGAGATCTGTAGCTCCAGATATGACCCAATTACCGAACAGTGTTCCGGTTTGGATTGCACCGACATCTCTTTTCTAAGTTTGGCCATCTCTTTATCCTTGCAATTTAAGTTCTTCAAGTCATCAATCAATCCTTTCATTTATGTGATAGGCCTGCATTAAAAATAGATATTTACCATAAATTATAGGTATCTTATATTATTAGATACATTATTATAAAACATATTTTAGTTAAGGAGTTATTGATATTTCAAGTGCAAAATGATGATATAAAACCATGATAAAAATGCACTTTTAAGTACTAATCAGTTATATATAGGTTTATTAAGGTTTTTCAAGTATTCTTTATGTGTTTTCATATGAAAAAAAAAAATTGAAAATAAGTATTTTAAGTTAATAAAAATTGAGATCAACTTTTTAGTTTTTTGAAGTGGCTAAAATCATACCAACAAAGTGCACATCATCTCTTATAGTAGATGAATTGAGTTTAATAACATTAGCAAGATATTTAACACATTGATGTGCAAATTGTGCATTATTTTTATAGTTTTTAATACATTTACATCAAGATTATCTTAACATTATTTTAAGAATTTTAAACAACATAATGCATATTAAAGGTATTCGTCTTTTTTATTTCTTTTTTTATGCTTTTTAATTTTTAATTAGAGATATGTCTTTTTTTCTTTCTTTATTTCAATCCTTCAAAATGTTTTGATGATTGTTCTCATTGATTTTTTAATTTTAATTTTAATTTTTATTGAATAAAGAACACATAACAAAAAAGTCATATTATTTTTCTGGAAAAAAAACTGAATAAGAAAGGAAAACAATTATTCTATAAAATTATTTTGTTTTAATAAAACTAAAATTGTTATTTTCTTTAAAAAGTTATTAACATATAAATAAATAAAAAATATTAAAGAGCTTATTAAGTTATGGGCTCAATCTAGTGTTATTAAATTCGGCCCAGCCTGAGGGGTTGACCCGGGACCTGGACCGGTTCGGGCAACACAAAAGACCGGTGTAAGGAAAAAACCGGGCCAAATCCAGGTGACCCAGCCTGACCCGGGTGACCCAACCTAACTTGGGTGAGACCTGGAATATATATCCTAACTCACCTATCTCGGGGGATTTAGAAAAGCAAAAAGAAAGCTAAATTTTTACCCCAATTTCTTTCTTTACAGTTCAAACAATTAAGTTATATTCTTCTGCTGGTATCTTCTAGTGGTAGCTCTGCTGGATTTCTTCTTTTTTTTTTCTGTGAATATTCTAGCCCCTTACTAGATCTTATTATGATCTTATAGAACTCTATAGTCTATACTAGTGGTCCAAAAGAAAAGGTAGATTCCACTGTTATGAGCCAAGTATTTTTTTTTTCTGCTTTGCAATGTTTTATTTTATGTTTATTTGTACTGGTAATAATCTACCATTTCTGCTAATG